ATGGCTGTACAAAAGGCAGACCCATTTATTTTTAATACTTTGACCAAGTTGATAATTTGAGCCCGGAAATGTGAACCTATAGAAATGCTGAGAATTTCACCACAGATGCTTTCACCCATCAATGACTCTGTCACTTCCTTAAATTGTATAAAGAATAACAACTCCTTCATATGAAAATAAACTACAGACCCTACTAAAAACAAAAATCCTGCCACTACATGGAATACCAAAGATATGAAAGATTTGGGAGATAGAAAGTTCTGAACCTTAAGAAAAGTATTCTTTGTTTGTTTTGTGGCCTTGAATCTCTCTTTTCAAAGGATATAGGATTCAGAAGCTTACTATATTAAATAGGTCAAAATGGTGGTGCTTTGCTACAGTGGGACTTAGATGGCACTGGTCTTGTCTCCCTACATCATAGAAAACCCGTGGCTGTTACTTGCAAGCCTTAGAGATGTCAATGCTCCATGACATGTTTATTGCATTTCCTGAATAAATGATTTAAACCAGTTACAGAGCATGGTCTTAAAGAGACAGCTGTATTTGCTGTTCCTGAAAATTCTGCTCACTCACTACCTAACTACTTTGAATCAGGGAAGCTCCCAAGTAACTAGACCTAAGCAATTTTATAACTTGCAAATAAAGAGGACTAGTTTGCAAGGCTCGGGTTGGGGATGGTCTTTTCTGTGACCCAGACTACATTGAGAATCTCCATGTTTGCATCATGCATTTCCATGTGGCTGTTGGAAATCAGGCGCATCTCTGCTCATGTGGTGGTAGGTCAAACCTTGGCTGATGTTTGCAGTTTCTACATATTTTGGTGTTTCATCAGATTGAATGGCTAACATGCTGCCACTTTGAAGATGAGCCTTTCACATTGATTCACTCATTGTTTATTAAATGACTAAAAATATACTGTATGGCCAGAGTATAAAATTCATGGTTTATTAGTATTTTCCTTCTTAAAAACTATATAATGGCTAAAGCCATTACACTTTCTTTCAAATGGAATTTTATAAGATTTGACATGTACCTATACCATGTGATAGTTTCTAATAGTGTTATAAAAGGAAACTCTTTTAAGAATGAAATAGTGATGTTCCTAACCTTTACACTGTGTGAGAACTCTTTTGTCATTAGGATGATTGTGCTAACTTAGACTCTCGCTCTATTTCTAGGAATGTCTCCTTTATGCTAAACTACTCTTGTAGAAAATTAACATGCTGTTAGATATATTAAATCTTTCGCTGAAGATTCAGCAATCGTGAATAAGGATTGGAAAAGATTTCCAGGAAATTTTCTAGACCATTCTTCCAGTTCTAATTCTGTATCTTCTAGATTAAGTTGTTGAAGTATGGTCCTGTATGCTGAGTGTTCCCAAGACCCTTTCAAGAGACCTGGATCTGCAGTGTGTGTGTGTGTGTGTGTGTGTGTGTGTGTGTAGTCTCCTTTAATTGTTCTGAGCAGGTAGTTTTTTTATAGTTTTCACTGTAGTAGTCTGACAAATCTTTTGCAGATTTATTCCCTAAGTATTTTGTTTTGACACTATTACAAATATTTTTTAAAAAAATATTCATTCATTTTGAGAGCTAGAGAGCATGAGCAGGGGAAAGGCAGACAGAGAGGAAGAGAGAGAGAATCCAAAGCAGGCTCTGCACTGTCAGCACAGAGCCTGACACGGGGCTCAATCTCACAAATCATGAGAACATGATCTGAGCTGAAATCAAGAGTCAGATACTCACGTGACTGAGCCATCCATGTGCCCCAGAAGTAAATTTCTTAAAGTAAATGTTCCAGTTGTTTGATGCTAGTATGTAAAAACACAATTGATTTTTGTGTATTGGGTTATACCCTGTGACTTTGCCAAATACATTTTTCAGTTGTTTAGTTGTTTGAAAATTCCTTAGTATTTTCTACTTAGAAAACTGTCATCTGTGACTAGAAACAGTTTTTTACTTTTTCTTTTTTTGATATGCACTTTTCTTTTTCTTTTTTTCTAAGTTTTTAAATGTTTATGTATTTTTGAGAGAGAGAAAGACAGAGCATGAGCGGGGAAGGGACAGAAAGAGAGGGAGACACAGAATCCAAAGCAGGCTTCAGGCCCTGAACTGTCAGCACAGAGCCCAACATGGGGCTTGAACTCACAAACTGTGAGATCATGACCTGAGCTGAAGTTAGATGCTTAACCAACTGAGCCACCCAGGCGCCCCTTATTTCTCTGGCCTTATTGAACCATGTAGGAGTTTTGCCTGTCTTTGGACTTCATATAAGTGGAATCATAAACTATATACTCTTTGTGTTTGTTTCTTTCATATGCTTGTGGTATTCCCTATGGTATTGTGGTTGGCTGCCTCAGTACTTTCTGGTATCCCAATATATAATTATTGCAGTTTATCCATTCTGCTGTTAATGGGATGTGCATTTTTTAATTTTTTTTTTAATTTTTTTAATGTTTTATTTCTTTCTTTCTTTTTTTTTTTTTTTTACAAATAGTTTATTGTCAAATTAGTTTCCACATAACACTCAGTGCTCATCCCCAAAGTGCCCTCCTCCATGCCCATCCCCCTCTCCCCCCCACATCCATCAGTCCTCAGTTTTGGTCAGCATTCAAGAGTCTCTCATGGTTTGCCTCTCTCCCTTTCCCCCACCATTTCTGCCCTTCTTCTCCCCCTTGTTCCTCCGTCAAGTTCCTCCTAATCCTCCTATACGTGCAAACATATGATATTTGTCCTTCTCTGCCTGACTTATTTCGCTCAGCATAACACCCTCAAGGTCCATCCATGTTGCTGCACATGGCCAGATTTCATTCTTTCTCATTGCCATGTAGTATTCCATGGTATAGATAAACCAGGATGTGCATTTTGAACTGAAGGTGATAACAAATCATGCATTTATGAACATCCTGGTACATGTCTTTTACTGAACATAAATATGCATTTCTGCTGGGTTTATACCTCAGAGTAGAATTGCTCAATCATCGAGTATGGGGTATATTCTTTTCCAGTTTTTTTGTCTTTACATTTACCATGTGTTTATTTTTCATATGAAACCAGAAGTCAGTCATATTTTTCTTTTAGTTCTTTGCTCTTTTCACCTGTTCATTTAGGGCTTGGGTCAGAGAACACCTGCCTTGCCTCGCCAAGAGACGGGCATGATTTCATCTCTTCTGGGCTTCTTCCTCTTGCCTTTGTTGCCCTCTCTCACAAGGTCTGTGCTGAGACCTGCCCCAGACAGGGCAGGACTTTTTCCCTTCAGGAATCTCCTAACCTGTCTCTTTAGGCACTAATTCAAATAGAGCTATTCCTACTAAAAAATTTACTCAACTGTAACCAAAGCAAAGTACATGCCTTTTTGACAGGCATAGGCATTTCAAAGACCCAAGCAGTTAGGACGAGAGACATCCTGTCACTCAGCTGGGAATCCATTTGTTCCTTCACTGTTTATGCTGTTTGCAAATTGCCGGTCCTGTGATCCTGTGTAGGGGGAAGGTTGAGGGATGAAATATCACACAAGTGGTTTCACATCTTGATAGCAGCAGGATTACAGGGAAAATCCTTACTAAAATTAAGATTGGAAGATAACTTGACCCTTGGAAGATAGAGGGTTCACTTGCCCTACTTTGTCTGTAAACTGTTGGATTTTTTTTTTTTTGAAGATGAAGAATTGAAAACCTATCCAAAATGTAGGTATTTATCATTTTACAAAGAATAATTAAAATTTTGTTAAGTATTAAATTTTTTGTAAGTGAAATCAGGTACAAGATAGACCTCATTGTAAAATAAACAACACTAGGGGCACCTGAGTGGCTCAGTTGGTTAAGTATCTGGCTTCGGCTTGGGTCATAATCTCATGATTCGTGAGTTCAAGCCCCGCATCAGACTCTGCTGACTGCTCAGAGCCTGGAGCCTGCTTCCCATTCTGTGTCTCCCTCTCTTTCTGCCCCTCCCTTGCTCACACTGTCTCTCTCTCTCTCTCTCTCTCTCAAAAATAAATAAACATTAAAAAAATTTTTTAAATGCTAAAATCAGTGTTATTAAATTTTACAAGTTTTCTAGGCCCTGAACAATGATAAACAAAATTTTTATTTAGGGTTTGTGAAATTAAAAAAAAAAAAAAAAAAAAAAAACAGCAACTAAAGTTTTACCCTAATACTGATACATACCAGCTAGGAGCTTGGTATGTTACTTAGCCTGTCTGAGCCTCAGTTCCCAAATATATAAGTCAGGATAATAAAGCCTCTCATTGGATTGTTGTCAGGCTCATATAAGATCTGGTAAAATACTCAGCATGACACCTTGCTGTAGCAAGTCTGTAAATTATTTTCTATTCTTATTTCATAAATGGTATGAACTTATGTCTGTTTGCCTTTTAAAGTTCACAATCAGGTGCCTGGGTGGCTCAGTTAAGTGTCTGACTTCAGCCCAGGTCATGATCTCAAGGTTAGTGAGTTCAAGCTCCATGTTGGGCTCTGTACTGCCAGATCAGAGCCTAGGGCCTGCTTTGGATTCTGTGTCTCCCTCTCTCTCTCTCTCTCTCTCTGCCCCTCTCCCACTCCCACTCCCACTCTGTCCCTCTCTCAAAAATAAGCAAACATTTAAAAAATAAATAAATAAAAATCACGATCTGCATCAAGCAACAAAAGAAATAAAAATAACTGTATACAAGCAAAGTTGATACAGAGAAGACAACTGAAATATTTCAGCCATGGAAAATTTAGTTAAAAATTACATATGTTAATGAACTTAAAGGAGAGCTTTTATGCAGCAGTCCACGTTTATTTGGCTTTCATAAAGTCCGAGACAAAAAAAATCTCTCTCATGACACTCAATGAAAACAATGCACGAATGACTTCAAATATTTATAGAAAGTTTAGTTGAGGAAGTGAGCTAAACCGAGGAAGGAGTTCCTCTGGAGATCTCAAAAGAATGTTTCAAAGCCATGCCAGTGTCCCTCTACCCTGGGAAGAATAGTCAACTAACCATGTGCTTTTGTTTCTCCAGGGAGAAGTTGGCCGTGGCCCGACTCCAGCGAGAAGTTGCCCAAAGAAGAAGTGAGGGGGCCATGGTAAGTGCTGCCTGCTTTCTTCTGATTCTGAACCTCTCTGCCAGAGGTCTCTGTCTTGAAAGGCATTTTGTGTCATTAAGGCTATCTAAGGAAAATATTTGCTTGCGGCAGACTTAATGATGTATTGGTAAATAATGTGTTCATAATGCAGCTTGGACAGTCGTGCCATTTACAGAGAATGACAGAGGGAGGGCGGGGGTGCGGAAGGAGGGAGGCCGTATTAACTGAGAAAAAAGAAATGTGTTTGGACTTTGAAGAGGATGTTCCAACATTCAGAGGGTTATATGGCTTTATTTCCGGAAGACCCAGGCTTCCAGCTGTGAGTACAGTGTCGCCAAATGAGCAGTCTTGGGTTTTCAGATAAGAGCAGTTCAACATAATTCAAGTCTCTCAGTTCTTTGAACTTAGAAACAAACAACCTAAAAGAACACTAGGTTTGCTAATGTGACCACCATCCATCCTTTTCCTTCTCTGCGCCATAACAGTGGATTTCTCCCTGTCTTTTCCAGCATGTGCTGTTCAGAGAGCCGATGTTTTCTCGTGTTTTGAATTGTACTGCAAAATCAATACGGTTGTTTTGGTCCATCGCAACTTCATTTTACAGACTCTCTTTGCCAAAGTATCCGCCTGTGTGCCACTCTAATATCAGAGACGACTGTCTGGGGACCCAGGGTGTGCATAGGTGTGGGTTACCTGCTGTTGCTACCGCTAGGCAAAAACCAGAAGACCAGAATTTTTTTTTTCCTCACTTATGAAAAAACAATGGCACAGATGCAGTTTTTTCAGTGCTCTTTAAAAAATAATTCTCTTTTTTAAAACAGAGAAGTGGCACATTTCCAGACCCTGCAGGCTGCTTCTGTTGGATTTCATGAGTGCTAATTGACAATCCATCCAGGGAAAAGAATAAGAAATGTCTAGAATATACTGGCCTCTCCCTTCTGCCAGGCAAAGCAGAGGTCCGGAGCAAGAAGCTGAATGTGGAGTGCAATTTGGAATGGTGTGGTGGCTTTTGAGCACACTAGAATACTTAAGTGTGATCACACTGTTTGATCTTAATGCAGAGTCTTGAATGTTCAAACGATAAGAAACAACTGTTCAAAAGCATCTTTGTGGAATGAAATGGAAATAAGTTGGAGAAGATGAAGGTTTAGTCAAATAGTGAACGGGAAGTGTCCAGTCTGAACTTTGACTGCATTGGGAAATGTGTATGGGCTAGGCCATTCTGCATTGTCTCAGTGTTTTGTTTGGGGCTGGCTCCTGTCGTACGTGTCGTCAGCTATGTCCTAACTGGATGGGAAGAAGTGACAACATCTCTTGCTCTCCGTTTTTTCATCTTCAGAATGAGAAGGTTGGAATTGTATGATTCCATTAGCTTAGTGGATCACGTTACTGAACATTTGTTTATGTAAAGTTTTTATGATGGGGAGCTTTTCCTGGTAATAGCTAAATGTTATTTAAGCTCATAAGAACATGCCTCTAAAGAATGTGTCTTTCTGACTACCAATGAATGAACCTCAGTTGAAATAATCTCAGGCAGATAACTCACTAGTCTTTAACAAGATAAAAGCCCCTTTCAAAATATTGTACAAGTAATTGTTCATTGTAGAAAATACCCAGAACATGCAGGGAGACAAAGAGATTACTCTCACTGCTCAAAAAACAACTTTGGAAATGTTTCTAGTATTTCATTACTCATATTTTAATTATGATAAGAAAAATCACACTTATATGTTGACTGATTTAACAGATATTTATTGAGCACCTATTATGCGGCCAGCACTGTTCTAGGCACTGGGGAAAATTCAGTGAAAACAAAAAACAGGCGAAAATCTGAGAGCTTACATTCTAGGGGTTGTGGAGACAGACATTGAATGTATTTAGAGTGATAGATGGTGGAAGCATCTATGAGAAAATGAAATCAGGGGTAGGAGAGATTGGGAGTTCTAGGAAGTCACTATTTTAAGTAGAGTTTCATAGTAGTAAATCACTGAAAAGTTAGTATTTGAGCAAAACCTGAAGGAGGCAAGGAGTGAATGATGGTACTCTCTGGGGGAGGATCATTCTGGGTTGGGAGATGAGCAGGTGCAAAGGCCTGCGGTGCCTGAGGAAGAAAAGAGAGACAGACTACCTGGAGGGGAGTGAGAGAGAGAGAGTGAATAGAAGAAGATAACGTCAGGGCCGTGTTTGGGGACAGAAGGAAGGGTAAGTCATCAGGGTCCCAAGGGAACTCTGGCTGATGCTCTGAGTGATAGGAGCCATTGGAAGGCTATGTGTGCTACAGTGACCTGATGTAATTTACTACGGTTCATATTACTGGTTCCCCCCTTCTATAATTTATCTCATCTCAATTCTTAGAGACACCATAAGCCCTGACTTTCATTAATGTTCTTTATTTTGTTTCTTTTCCCTTTTACTCAAGGTTTTTCCCCTCTTTCCTTACCTGTGGTTTCGTACTTAATTACATGCTTCAGTTTTTCTGCTCGTAGGATTCATTTATTTCTCAAGTCCTGATTCTTTCAGCATCTGACAGCTCCTTAAGTCAGGCAGTTCTTTTCATCCTCTAAATTTAATTCTTGCTGTTACAAGCCCAGAAACTTTGTCATGTCTACCGCAGAAGCAGAAGGCCGTTCATCACAACCACATCACCTTATTTACAGTATTCTGTATTTTTATCCACATGAAAGGAAAAATAGTATGGAAAAAAGTTTAGGAAGTATTTTGAAAAAACACATATAATTGAGTCAGGTATTTATTTTTAAAATCATCAATGGACCTGTTTTAATCAAAGTCTTTAATGCAAAGCATGCCCTTTTAAAATTTGACTTTATGCAATACATTTCTTTACTTAGAAATTTTAAGATAGTACTCAAGACAACATTTTTGAGAAATTTATTGTATTATTTTAGCTCACTTACTACTTTTGAATAATTTTAGACTTACAAGAAAGTTTCACATCTGCATCTCCTTGATCCAGAGCTACAATTTTCATGTCTTACATGACTATGGCATCACTATCAAAAGTAAGAAATTATTGTTGGTATGTTGCTATTAACAAAACTTCAGATTTTATTAGAATTTCATCAGTTTTTCCAATAATTTCCATTTTCTGATCTATGATTCAATTCAGAGTACCACACTGCATATAGAGAGATTGCCTTTTTAAAGACAGTTTTTTAGGGGCGCCTGGGTGGCTTAGTCGGTTAAGCGTCTGGCTTTCGCTTAGGTCATGATCTCGCGGTTCGTGGGTTCGAGCCCTGCGTCGGGCTCTGTGCTGACTGCCAGCTCAGAGCCTGGAGCCTGTTTCAATCTGTGACTCCCTCTCTCTGACCCTCCCCTGTTCACGCTGTCTCTCTCTCTCTCCTAGAAATAAATAAAACATAAAAAAAAATTAAAAAAAATAAATGAAGACATTTTTTTAATGTTTATTTTTGAGGGAAAGAGAGACAGAGAGAACAGGGCAAATGCAAGAGAGAGAGACACAGAATCCAAAGCAGGCTCCAGGCTCTGAGCTGTCAGCACAGAGCCCAACACAGGGTTCAAATTCACAGACTGTGAGATGATGACCTGAGCTGAAGTTGGAGGCTTAACCAACTGAGTCACCAACGTGCCCCTAGAGAGATTGTTTTTTTTTTTTTTTTTTTTTTAATTATTTCTGAGAGAGAGAGACAGTGTGAACAGGGGAGGGTCAGAGAGAGAGGGAGACACAGAATCCGAAGCAGACTCCAGGCTCCGAGCCGTCAGCAGAGAGCCCAACGCGGGCTCGAACCCACAAACCGTGAGATCATGACCCGAGCCAAAGTCGGAAGCTCAACCAACTGAGCCACCCAGGTTCCCTAAGAGATTGCTTTTTAATGGCTAGTTGATACATATGTGGCAGTACAAAGATCATGAGCTTGCCAGTAGTTGCCTATGTACATTACCAGGTGTTATCAATTCTGACTGCTCTCTCTTTTGTTCTTTTAACTCAAGTATTTATTTGGGGGAGCTTTCTTCCAGCAATTAGATATGTCATATTTGTTTCCATTGCTCTTAACTCTTTCAAATACTATTGTTTTCATACTTAACTTTTCATTATTTTTCACAAACTGCTCTAAGGTGTTGTTGCAAGTTGTTGCCTCTTCATTCTAGGAGATTCTGTTTCAGCTTATCTCAGGCACAGAAACACTGTCCGTGTATGGAGGTACAGTGTTCCACACCAAACCCGTCTCAGTTTATGTACAAAATCTATTCTGTCCTTAAGAGTTTGATGTCATCTTAAGTTTTATTGTATGCAGAAAGGCCCATTTCAGTCCAAAGTATAAAGATATTCATTATCATTATCTTTTAGAAGTATATATAGTTTTCCCCATAAGTCTTTGCATCTTCTATGTGGAATTAAATTGATGTGAGGCAGAGATCAAAAGAAAATTTTCCCAAATTGATATTAATTTCCCAACATCATTTATTAGACGATCTAAACTTTGCTGTCGTCTTCATCATATTCCACCTACCCCTGTCAGTCTACATGAGCTACTGGACTCATTCAGAATTACACTATTCTGAATTGTTTTATTTACTAGAAATTGATAGTTTACTTAATATTTTGTAGGCCAGATTTCTTCTGGCCATACTTTTTCCCCAAACTTGCAAAGACAATTTTATTTATGAATGGCAATAAGAGTTTAGGAGTTAAAGAATATGTATTTAGATTTTTTTTAAATGTAGAGAACACTTTTATTTGTATTTACAACACAACAAAGTATCACAGAGAGACTGTTTCAAAAATGACGTGAACAATGGCTTTGATGTTTTCTTAAATTTATGTTTAGAATGTTTTGGAAGGCTATCACTTCTACCACTGTTTATCTTTGTTTTTTATCAGAGCTATTATTTTGACAGAATGCTATTATTCTACTAAACATAATTTTTAAAATGCTTGGGGTAATTATGCCAAATCATCGATACACTATGGTTTCTTTTCATCTCATTGAGTAACTTCTACTTGGGTAAAAGAAAAATAT